GCTACTACTATTATAATCACTAACACAAATTAAAAAATTCAAGAAATGCATTTGCTTTAAGTTAATAATAAAACTAAATATTTAATGAATCCATTTATACACTTTTAAGTTCAATATTAATGAAATATACAAATTAAGCCAGGGGTATCCAACCTAACCGTGRAGGTTTTTGATCCGGTTCACTAAACCCACCCCCTTTTTAAATATTTAATTTCAAGGTTCCAATTATACATATATAACTGAGTTGTGATTGTGAGGAAATCGATCATATGCAATGCAAATAAAATAATTTTTCTCTCTTCTCAATACCATTAATCATTGTCTAGTACAGGCATGTCAAACTCAAAGTATCAAGTTGGCCAAATATATTGAAAAGGTTACTATGCGGGCCGCACATAAAAATTTAACAATACAAAAATATTTAAAAAAATTCTTATTCTATTACATTTTATCAAAAGATAAGACACTATAATAATGAATACCTAATAAACTATTCTCTAAAAATCTAAGATAGTTGTAACACAGCAATTATATATATTAATATATAATAATTATTAATAATTATATATATTAATATCTTATGACTTTCTTCATTATTATTGGTAGCCGTGGGCTATAAGAAATTGAACTGAGGGCCGCGTGTTTAACATATTTGGTCAAGTCAATATAGTCTCAGAAATATTTTATGRGGCAATTTACTTTTGAACCACTCCTTGAGATATTAACTACTTAATACAATACTTATTATTGAATTTACTTATGCTAAATATCAAATCCAGATAAAGTTAGACTTGTGCTATAATTTCCCACTAAATCCAGTAATCACCCACACACCCCATTAAAATAAATCAAGCGACTGCCCTTCAAAATCACGATCAACACGCTACTGAATATAGTAACTACACTCGCTTCTATCCTTCTCCAAAACAATTTCGGCCAGCCATKWCAAAATGTATTTATTATTCAGGTGACGCGAAGTAAAAAAAAAGTTAAATTGGAGACCCTTTGATTAATTTATTTTATCCTATTTTCACTCATTATATAATAAATAATAATAGCAAGGTAAATTAGTAACAATAAAAAWGCGTRTTTGGTTCTATTTGTTTTTAGGTATTTTTTTGTTTGATCATGATTGAAAAACAATATAATATAGATTAGGTATGACATACCTATATCAAAAGGTATTTAAAAGGTACTAAATATTTTTAAATTATTAACATTTGTAAAAATATACACATGAAAACGGATACAAATAACGAAAAAATTTGGGCCACCACGTCACCAACATACACAACATTAAGAGATTTTCGGACAAAACGCYTTTGCCACTTTTCTTTGTTGATATCCAAAGAGCAACCAACAATTCTGATGTATTSAACATTGAGTTYYTTCTCAAATCAAAAWTTATTGTTGAAAAACCACATCCACCAAAAAGCCCTCCGCAGTGCTATACATACCAGTCTTACGGTCATACTTGAACATTTTGTTATCATAATGATCCACGCTGTGTAAAATGTGGTGAAAACCGTGTCTCAGGTTCCTGTACTAAGCCACGCGACTCTCCAGCCAGATGTGCCCTATGCAATGGCAGCCACACTGCCAACTACAAAGGTTGCCCCGATTACAAAAAACTTAAACATGATACTCATTCAATTAGGCGAGATCCTCCCATACCTACTCCTTCACCAAAAAACAATATTACCAAAACCTCTCTTGCTACCAGTCAGAATTCTTATGCTCAAGCCATCTTCTCTGGTAAAAACTATTATTAACCTTTGTTATCCTCCTTCAACTTCGAAATTTCTAATATCGTATAATCCTTCCTCTCCCTCCTTACTTCACTTCCAAAGAAGTCTCAATTATCAACAATTTAAATATATCAAATCGTGTTAATCACG